TAGGTATGTCATGTCATGTCATATTATTGCATTCATCTCATTTCCCAAAAATTCTCGATTGTACTGTTCATACATTGAGTTTCATAAGTAACGGGAGAATGAGATTGAGATTCAGGTAGAGATTTCTGGAACACGTCGACTCATTTCCAAATCGTACATTATTCATCATTGGTTTTATATATTTACAGGGTGAGTCAATTGGTAGATATGACGTAATCGATGATTATTCCTGAATATAGACTACGCACCTTTTTCAGTTGTATTTCAGAAAGCTGTAATTCAATTTCAGAAAGCGTCAGTCAATTGTATTTCAGAATAATCAATTGGATTTCAGGAAGTGTCATTTGTTTTTCAGAAAATATCTATTGAAATTCAAATGGCAGTTTCTGAAATTGAATTGACTATTCTGAAATACAACTGACGCCTTCTGAAGTTGAATTGATTATTCTGAAATATAATTGAAATACAAGTGACTATTGTGAAATACAATAGACGCTTTCTGAAATTCGATTGACTATTATGAAATATATAATTGACGCTTTCTCAAATTCAATTGACTATTCTGAAATACAATTGATGCGTTCTAAAATACAAGTGACTATTCTGAAATACAATTGATGCTTTCTGAAAAACAAGTGATTATTCTGAAATACAATTGGCGCTTTCTGAAATACAACTGGAAAAGGTGTAGTTTATTTCTCAATGAATTTTCGAATGATCCATGAAATTCAGGCTACATGCTCCCAAGAATACAATTTTGAAATGAGGTCAACTATACCTTTTCCAGTAGAATAGGATAGAATGAAATTTATTCATCACTGAAATTTCACATACATACACAAATACACATACATATAGACTACGCACCTTTTTCAGTTGTATTTCAGAAAGCGTCAGTCAATTGTATTTCAGAATGAAATGCAATTAACACTTCCGAAAATCGAATTGACTATTCTGAAATACAATTGACGCCTTTTGAACTTCAATTCACTATTCTGAAATACAATTGATACTTTCTGAAATACAAGTGACCATTCTGAAATACAATTGATGCTTTTTAGAATTGAATTAACGCTTCATTAAATACAATTGGAAAAGGTGTGAACTCGATATGTGCAAAAACCGTTTATTACTGAAATGAGCAATATGTTCTATGAATCTTGAACCAATGCTTCGACGGGTTTGGCCAATATATTTCTTGTGACAGTCATAACATTTTCTCTCATGAATACCTGATTTATCATTAGTATACATCTCATCTTTGAAGGGTTGCCTAGAAGATAATGAATGGCATGGCAGTAGAAGCTACAGATACGTTCACTCCTTGCGTTATAAAAATACCATTCAAATACTTCGTGATATGGAAATCAAATTCAAATTCCACCTGAGTAACTTCTAGAGTGGTGGACTACTCAAACATACAACAAATAATAGAGATTTGAACAATTTGAAAAGTTTGAATAGAGATCATTCGATAAAGCCTTCCTTCCAATCTTTATTAAACCAAAACCGTTTTCTGAACAGAGAAAAAATTCGGTCTGAATAGGATATCGACAATTTCTTCAATTATCCTCATTAGGATAGTTTCTTGAGAAACTCTCAAAGATACTATAGAGTCAGCAAATATTCATTTCCTCTTCAGTTCTCCTTACGATGGCAACTCTATTGATGAATTATATGCGTATTTAGATTTTTCTGAATAATAATCTGGTATTTTGGAAATATTTTGTATTCGATCAAAAATTACCTTATATCCACTGAACGGTTCACCTTGTAAATATGAAACAAGTTTCAAATGGTTCAAAACTCGAAAAACTATATTGTTGACGTTTTTCTGCGATTTTATTGTCGAAAATATTTGGCTGAATTTTTAATAAATGTATGACTGTGTGAAAGTCAATGTAGATATGGTTCGATCACCACCAATATTCATTTATTCGCGATCAATTTCGAAAATACAGTATGATGCAAAATGATAGAGATTATTTCATGTGATAAGAGGATTTTTATAATAAAATCACTATATGGAGTTGAAATTCGAAGTTTCAGAAAGTGCTTATTAGATAAAGATTTCCATATTACGCTTGATTGAAATATCAAAAATAAAAAAGCGATGGAAAACAAGTTACATAATATCACTAGATTACTTTCCCTATATTCTCCCATAGTTTTTTAATTCTATTTTCGACTAATCGAACACTTTGTATGTAATCTCCTACATACTATTCTTAGAATTGTTTTAGTTTCATTTAATACATTCGTTCAGTGGCGTCTGAGAGATTGAATTTACCTTTCTCTCCATTGATTTAAGTTTTCAGTTCTTTGGAAATTCGAAATTTCACCTATCTATTCAGTGTTCAGGTAATTACAATTCACAGGGTACTACAGCTCACGCATTCAGTTTCTAATTGCGGTAATATCAACTATGATTCCGAAATATTTCAGTAGTATATCAGCCAAAATATTTCTCATATCTGCCTTGATTGCCTTACAGTTTGTTCTCTAATGAACCTTTGAAAAATGAGATGATATTGAACGAGTTGGCAAGAAGTTCAACAAGGACGTTTCAATCGATTTAAGGATTACCTTTTATAACCATTGGTTATCGGGAAAGTTGAAATTGATGTTATTCAAATGGTATATTCTTCATAACTTTAGTACCTAGTTCAATCCAAAACTAAAAGTTTCTGGACATAAGAAAGTAAAATTGAATCAATGAAAAATTAAATGAATTATCACTTGATGAGTGGGCAAAGGTCTTGAAATATCTGGGAAGCTTGATTAGTCCATCCTAGTTTCTATAAAATGGAGATATGACTATTATTTCAATATTCGTGTAGTGAGGAAAATCTTCTGAAATAGTCCATACTCGAAGTGGTGGGGGCTGATGAAAGAGAGAAAGAACTCAAAGTCGTCTCCACGAGTTCACTGGTGAAGTATGCAGTCAATTCTGCTTCATTACTTTTGATTGAGACATGTTCAAATGGTCATCATCAGTCGTAGTGCTAACAAAGTCAATGTGGAAGTGGCTATATCATCATGAAGACGAAATTTTATATATTAAAAGAACATGATTAATTTAGATTTGGACAAGTTATATAGGGCCGTGTTTCAGGAGAAAGGCATTTGGGACCGAGGCGATCTCTATTTTCCAAATCTCAATCAATCATGTTATTTTAATACACACACTGGCACAATTAGGGGAACGGGTAAAATTTACACTAAGTTTGACATCAATTTTCTCTCGGACCGATCACTCGATTCAAACTTGTTTTTCACGAATTGTAGCTTCATTCTTCACGAATACATCTGAGAAATGACCACCTCCAAACGATTCGTCTTTATATCATATACAGGGGTGTAAAGAAAGTACGGAATTGTCGGTATTCTTTAAGACATCCAGTGGAGTGAACCACTGAAAATCGAAACGATTTTTCAACACCAAATTATAGCCCAATCTATCCCGAATATTTTCGTTTTTTATTCATCTTGATATCCCAATTATCAAAGAAAATATAGAGTTTCAAAGAAGAGGTGGATATTGGTATTCAATTTACCACCTCGAAACTCGAACTGGGGAGAACGGGTCGTTTTTCAACTTGTGAGGATTTTTACTTCAAGATGAGAATTGTTCACAGTTTTACCTATTGGTTTACTGTTCAAAGACACATATACGAATACTCTCATGAATATGCAGGGATGATAAAAGTTGCTTCAATGCTCTTTTGGTGAAATGCTATTTTGTTAGATCAACGTTGGCTATTTTGTTGATGTCATTAATTATTGTCAAAGTCAAGCGATTCACAATTCATAAATTTGATTATGAAAATTCAACGTGAGAGATTTGACTCCTATACTGATGTGGCGAGGGCTGTAGCATTAATTGAAAATGACCAGTGGGACAATGTTCTTTTAACATATGAGAGCCGCGCATCTGCACCAATTCAATAGATGACAGGGAAAGACTATATCGCCGAGGTGAACAAAATGAACAATTTGATTTTACTGCTTTTGTCTCCTATGGCAGAGGTTTGGTCATGGTTAGGTTAGGTTAGTCAAGAAACGACACATTTTCAGATCCAATTTGAGTTTTGAGGTGTAAAATTGATACCAATATCCACCTTTCCTTTGAAACTCTGTATTTTCTTGAATAATTGAGATATCAAGATGAATAGAAACGAAAATATTCGGAATAGATTGGGCTCCGATTTGGTGTTGGGAAATCGTTTCAATTATGGTGGTTCAGTGGTTCAGTCCACAGGATGTCTAAAAAAATACTGAAAAATCCGTACTTTCTTCACACCCCTGTATATGATGGAAAGACTCATCGTTCGAAGGTAATTATTCCTCAGATGTATTCGTGAAGAATGAAGCTACATTTCGTGGAGAAAAAAATTTGAATCGAGCCATCGGTTCGAACGAAAATTGATGTCAAATTTAGTGTAAATTTTACCCGTTCCCCTAATTGTGCCAGTGTGTGTATATAAAATTTTTTTGTCTTCATGATGATATAGCTACTTTCACATTGACTTTGTTGGTAATATGACTGATGATGACCATTCGAATGGTCGAAACATGTCTCAATTGAAAGTAATGAAGTAGAATTGACTGCACACTCCAGCAGTAAACTTGTGAAGACGACTTTGAGTTCTTTCTCTCTTTTTTCATATTTTTATTTAACAGAAACGAGGAGACAAGAGCCCACAAAATCTTAAATAAAGAATAATTCAATCATACCTACATCCTACATCCTACATATAGCTTCTCTGAACTGAAGAGCTCATTCCATAATAACAATCATTAACTATGTATTCGTTGCAGACTCATCGATTTGAATACGATGGTATCCACTTGAGCCCGACAAAATGATACCATCACACAGCCCGAACCATCACCTGGCAATTCTCCTATCGAAGCCGCCAAACACTCAGCTGAACAGTGCCCTGAAGCTTCCGAAACTATGACAGCATCCGTCGAGCCCACATGCAATCTGCCGTAACATGCTGGACATCTTCCGTGGTCTGAAGGCGCTGGTCCGAGTCAGCCACATCCAGATCGACTCTACGGTATTTCGGCTGCACTACTCCATCACAGTCTCCATTCTGATAGCCTTCAGCCTGATAGTGACCACAAGGCAGTACGTGGGCAATCCCATAGATTGTATCCACACCAAGGACATACCGGAGGATGTGTTCAACACCTTTTGTTGGATACATTCTACCTTTACGGTTGCGATGGGTAAGCAGGAACCTTATGCTCAGATGTACCTACCTGGGGTGAGGACTTCGCATAGTGAGAAGGAGAAGAAGGTTTATCGGTATTACCAGTGGGTGTGCTTTTGCTTATTTTTTCAAGTGAGTAAATAGTATAATATTATTGAATGTGTATTGCTTTTGTACCAAGTCCAATTACAGAGTTATTCGTTTCGAAACTTTACTTTGTTCGTTTCCCCCCTACTTATTTTTGAACCACCTGGTTTATCACAACGAAATTAGGAAGGGTCAAATAGGAGATAGCCTATTTTTTTATGAAAACACGCCGACAGCTCAAGGTTTTAAAATGGCAGCTGAGTGGCATCTTAAATATTTTTTTTAAATGGAACACCCCGTATTTTATTCAATTTACAAAATCTCCCGCTTTCGATTCTCAACAGGTTTATCCATTACATCCTACCCCTCATTTCAAAAGTATTATTCGTTTTGAATATTTTGGTATTATATAGGTATGTTTCAATGGTAGGTATAGGTGCCTTTCCAGGAATTCTCTATGAAAAAAGGTTTAAAAGACTGATGTATTATTGCAAATCTTCATAACCTATATGTATAACATTACTACTTTCCTCTATCTCTTTGTGAATTTGAGTGAAACTTCTTTTGAAACTTCAACATTTTAGACATCTTCTTCTTCTTCTTCTTCATCTTCTTCGAAGCACTGATGGGCAGGTGAACACCCCAGCACGTAGGCCTCCTTATTCGGGCCCATTGTGCGCCTCCATGTTCCGACATCCAGCTGGGTATGCCGACTTCCTTGGAGAACTCCAGCAGCTTCCATAGCTGAATCTCTTTCATGTCCTCTGGCCTCAAAATTATGTTGCCAAGGACAGCCTTCCTCTGATGTATCAGTGCTGGGCACTCAGTGAGGACATGCGATGACGTTTCGTCATCTTCCACGCACCATCTGCAAAGGAGATCATCTTTGATCCCAATGAGCTCTAGGTGCCTACTGAGGTGGTTGTGCCCCGTTAGGAACCCCACTACCATTTTAAGGTATCGCCTGTTGAGGGATACATTCTCTTTTGTGAGTCACTTCGAAGGTTCCTTTATGTCGAGCTCCGATTGTCTCATTCCGGGTGTGTCCTGCCATATTTTGAGGAATTGCTTTTACAGCTGTCCCTCTATGGAGGACATCGCCAGACTGTTTGGTATGGTATCTTTGCCAGTCTGCCTGCCTCCTCATTTCCGGGTACCCCGAGTGTCCCGGGACCCACATGAGGTTGACTTTTCTTGATTTTGTTAGGTTTTTCGAGGCCTTTCTGCACTCGGACACCAAATTGGTTGTGATCCTATTGGATTGCAAAGCCAGTATTGCAGCTTCGCTGTCCGAGCATATAGTGATTGGTCTAGGACCTCTCATAATCAGGTTTTCTTGTACAGAGTTAAATATTTCAACCTTGAACACTGAGGCATATTCGCTCAAATGAACCGATATTTCATTTCTTGTTCCTTCATTGTATACCCCTGCACCTGATCTGCCCCCAAATTTAGACTCCTACACATTCGAAATAAGAAATTATTTCGTTTACATTTGGGTTCAAAATTGGGTAGCATATCCGTTAGATGGCTTCGTATGATATGATTTTATCTTCAGGATGATTAGATTCATACCACACAATACACATAGACTGTTTTACACCAATAACATATTAACATATTAATCAGAAGATGTGTTCAACACTCACACATGCAGAATTATCTTCCTAGGTTATGGATATTATTTAATTAGCTAGAAAGAAAAGAATCATCGGTATGAGATGAACAGTGAGATTCAAAGAACATGTCGAGGTTGTATGGTGCTAGCGCTCTTATTGGAGAAGTGACTAGAGGTAATATCACCGTCCAGGTACGACATGTTCATTGCATTTGATTGTACTTCTGCTTATTTCTTCCTAGTGGATAAGTATAACAAAAATGATACTCTGATTGTATGAACCTATCGCCTCTGTTCCAAACATCGGATAGTCGTAGTCTTTTATTTTGAGTCCGAGTTTGAGACTATAAGTGTTCGCAAATCGTACGTAATATGCACTTGAACATGTCTGCAATATATTCAAACAAGTGGATATGGATTGGAATAGTATCAACTTACTGAATAGACGAAATATTATGACTTCACAGGTCGATTTTTCACCTAATCTGATTCACTCATGGCATCTTATTTCAATCTCATTTGATCAACTTCTCAGTGGTATGTATCATCTCCAATTTGAATAATTACTTGTGAGGGACATCGGACATCCGCAGAGCTGCTGGCGGATGAATACATAATAATATGTTGATTTAGTGTACTTATTTCAGATAGTGTTTTCTATCCATATCAATTTTGAAGTAATGCAGTTATAAAAATGCTAATTATTTGCATCAACACTTGAAGGGAGACATCAAATGATTCGAAACCGTGTTAACAAAGTCAACAAGAGAAGGTTCAATATTTTCTATCTCTCATATTCATGCAAGGGTCCATATCTCCCCCTCTAATGATGATTGATGCTTATACCATTGAGAACATCACCATCTTGAGAAGTGTTGGTGGCGAGATGAAAAATATGCGTTGAATACCTATATTCTTCGAAGAAAAAATGGAACAGCTTATAAAATTTTGATTTCGAAACAACTTGCGTATCAAATAGATAGTCTCAAATATTCTTCATAGAATGAGCATATCAGATTTTCAAATCGAATAAGAAATAAAAATTGTTTCAAACATAAGTATACGTGTCAACCTTCATTATCAATTTTATCTATTACATTCATAGTTATTTCTGGAATCCGACAATTTATTTTTGTACTACTGTAGTTACTCCAAATTGTCTCTCGAAGATCGGGGATATGTTAGAAAAATGTTTCCTGCCTCGTCAATGTATTGGTAATGTCTATTTGCTTTAACTGGAGTTGCCATAATTAAAACAGGTTACGTAAACACCAAGTGAAATGAGTTTGAAAATTCGATTTACTACCTAATGTTTCGCAGCACACGAATAGGAATGAAAGCGATGCCAAGAATATTCGTCACTATGCATTTACAGGTCTGCAATGGGAATGCCAATTACTTAATAACATTCTGAGAATTCGTTGGAATTGCCAGATTTGTCAGAAAATGGCTAAAAAATCTTGTTGACATGTTAGCAACAATGCTTCAGAAAATAGTTTGGGCTGAGTCGATTTTCAATAGTTTTAGTTCAACCGATAACAAATATGGTACCTTATTCCTCGCAACTATACATCAATTTGATTAAATCATTAAATTAACCTGAAGAAATGACCTAGATAGTCTATATCTTATTATTGTGAAAAGAAGTTGATAGAACATACGAATAATCAATCACACTCCACTTCTGATTGATATCAATATTGGACCAGTGATAAATATAATGATGTGTTGTAAGATAACTTCTAATCTGTTAATGGCTATAAAACCTATATAGTAGTATTGTATTTAACAAATATTGTGGTGTTCTGATAAACAATGACTGGTGTTTCGTTTCCCAAACTAATGAGAGTTTTTCGATGTTTTTGATCATTTTGAAAGCATTTCGGGAGTTCGCCTCTCATATTTATGACATTGTACTTTTATTATTCTATCATTCTTCAGTACAGAACTAGAAAGGAAATAAAGGGCTGACACTATAGTTTCTTTATTCGAGATATTTTTATCAATTTCGAAAAAATGTTATCCCAGTTCAACATCGTCAAGATATTTCTTTTCCATATTTCGAAATTGATTGCCGCGTTTTTATAAGATGACAATGACCATTTCCTACTCAAATATATATACGTGCGAGTAAAAGGAATCCGGAAAATCAGAAAACATCCTTTATATAAATCTCTGGTAGTAGTCCATGCTCAAATTGGAGGTGATAAGATAATTAAGAGAACAAACTCAAAGTCTCGCTCCAAGTAAATTATAATCAAATCATATATGCTACATGTTTCGACTCCTAGGAGTCATAATCAGGCTAAAATACAACACTTATAAATGAAAGAAGTTCCATCACTATTGGAATACTATCGGTATGTCAACCATTTTCCAATAGTGATGGAACTTCTTTCATTTATAAGTGTTGTATTTTAGCCTGATGATGACTCCTAGGAGTCGAAACATGTAGCATATTTGATTCGATTATAATTTACTTGGAGCGAGACTTTGAGTTTGTTCTCTTAATTATCCTTTATATAACATTGATTATTTTCTTCGTATATGATTTTGAACCAATCACAACATTCAATTGAGCTAAGCTACCATGAAAAATTTCGAATATACGTGGATATACATAGAGTAGTTCCACCAATCAGAAATTTAGAACTATTTCCATTTCCATAGTATATCCAATTTATATTTACATACACACAAAGCGCGTTGTCGAATTTTGACTTTCGGTCAGAACTACTCGAAAAATATTCGCATCGAATACAATTTGAACTTCAAAACATTCCGTGTTATACATCTCAAACTTCCTGCACAATTTCAAATCGTGTCAGTTAAACAAAATATAATATTTCAACTGTCAAACTGACACTCTTTGCATGTTATTAGCAACGAGCTATCGATGTATAAAACGAATATTTTGAAGTACTCACTTCTGATAACTTCATGGAGAATTAAACCATCCTTGATAATAATCAATAAATCTTAAATCTTTTTTCGTATGTGTGTGATATTTCAGTCATAACATGACATGATACAATACATTTCCTGAACTTTTATGTTTCATGTTGATAATTCAAACAAAACAACGATTCGTAATGGATTAAACTGAAAAAATACTAGCTATTTATCATGAGGCAAAAATTATGACGGCGTTCTTTAATTGGAGAAACAATAAAAAAACGCATAGACAGCTTGTTTTCACTAGTTTAGAATGGTTTAGAGGTGTTCCTATTTCTTTGAAATCTATTTTCGTTGTCAAAGTAGAAACTCTCATTGGATATTTTTAGGATATAAGACAGTTCTTCATTAAGACCTGTTTAATCTGTTCAAATAATAAATAGAGAAGACGCTGAAAAGTTGGATCAGTATATCGAGATGACACTAATGAATACATAAAATTATTTACACAGGAGGCACATGTTACTTATGT